CTAATTGACCTCCTCCCAACAGATTTGTAATTAATGATTAATACTTTCAAAGGTACACATCTCCTATGAACCTTCCAAAATAGCGCTGCACAATATATCCTTTCAGCATTGATATTGAAATGTGATCAATAGTCACCAGTGGTGTACAGCAACAAATTACAAATACTCAAATGACTGTAATTGAGGTTTTTTTTAGGAAGTGTAAGTAGTTTAAAAAATGTGTACTTTTACTTCCCTTGAGTACATTTTTAGTGCACTATTGGTACTTTCACTCCACAACCTTACTTCAACATACAGTCACTACTCTATTTTTCTTGTCTATGGGAATTGGCTGAGTAAAATATCTATCCTGTGATCTATTCTGTGATGAAAATTCCATGTAAAGGCATCAGCTTTTCACAGAGTAATCCTCAGTACTCGAGTACTTTTAAAAGGGCTACTTTTTACTCATACTTTGAGTAATATTTAAGACAGATACTTTTACTCTACTTGCACTACAAGTATGGTACTTTTACTTGAGTATAATTGTTCACTACTCTTTCCACCACTGATAGTCACATCGCTATTTCTGAGGCCTGTTTGTAACCATATTGTAACCATAATAATGATTCATTTTATCGAATTATTTATACAACGAAGATTGTGCAGTAATATTTTACATTTGATTATCCAATTACTGTACCTGAATTCATACTGTCGGTTTATTTCATTTGAATTTTTTCTTTATTGTAGTTTTCTATGCTTATAGAGATTTTATGCAGATGCACTAACGGAATCATACCAATCAATCAACTAAAATATAATTCTTTCCAAATTGAATTATTTAGGTCATCTGTTGAAATTGTAATCATATCGCAATATATATGGCAGAATAACAAAATTATGCAATGTTATATTTTTTCCAATATTGGACAGCACTCTTCCAGATACACCATCACAACCAGTGTTCATTTCTTTAAATTGATCTGTATTTATCTGATGTGTTGTTAATATGGCTGTTACTGCATTTAAATATTGAGTCACGAGGGTTTCTACAACCAAGAGCGATCTGCTTCACTGAAAATGACCAAAAGATCTCAGCTGTGAAAATGTTGAAATTAATTCAGCACCACAAGCATGATACATTCCCACTCACCACTATTAGCTGATTAAACCATGGCAGCCTGTCCGTGTGTGTTTGTGTGTGCGTGCATGTGTGTGTGTGTGTGTGTGATTCACAGCCTGTTCTGTCCTCCTTCACATTAAGTAGCATTTCTCTCCAGTCTGTCAATGTCCATGTGCATGAGAGAATTAAGAGACATACAGAATCACTCAAGCAAAAACTCTCCACAGTTTCACGCTCTCCTGCACATCACATACATTCACTTACGATTTATACATATACATTTATATACATTTATAAATTTAGCAGTAAAGACTGCACTGTTTAAATTTGCTTAAAGCGGATATATTAAGGGTAGTTATTTTTCCTACACCAAGAGCCTCACGGAAAGTGTGTAACAAAGAGCGTATATCTTATTGTATGATTTTATCATGGCAAGTGGTCATGGTCAGCTGAGCAGAACAAATTAAGCATGCAACCCAGAGGAAATGATACAACATGCAACAAAACACATCCACACAAATTTTCTCTTCATGCATCTCATAGGGTTAATTTTATTTTACATTAATTTAACACTAAACTGAGCACTTACTGTATGAACTTATGCATTTCAAATACGAAGCTAAATTTATTTAATTTTAAATGTGATGGCTTCCTCTAGTGGTTACTATGTATACTTCATGAAAATACACAATGTTCTAGTGTTTAAATAGCTTTTTGACAACTACTTTCAACACTAAGTAAAATTTTACACGTCTATTATTTATCCAAAAGTTTATTTGAATTTTCGGGGGGACATTTAAAATATCAATATTGGACATTTGAATTGGCTTATTGTGTCTTCTGCATGTTTACATCTATCGCTGGAAGTTTGTTCCTGCCGTAAAAATAAAAAGCAAAAAAGACTTTCCTTTCCAATCCATTCTGTGAGTTTACACCTCACACTTTTGATTGTGCTCTATATAATGTCACTTTGTATCTCACGATTTCAATTAACTCACAACTGCAAGTTTATATTTTGCACTTTTGACTTTTTTCCACAAAACTCTGAACTTACAAAAATATAGACTCACAATTATGAGAAGAAAAGTGATGAATATTTATCACACTTACTGTACAAAGTGATTACTAATTTTACTTTAAAAAGTGAGTAAACCAGTTGTTACTTGGATCTATTAAGTTGATTCTTATTTTGTTTCTGCTTTGTTTAATAAATTTAAGTCAACATGTTACTAACCTTTTATAAGTAACTAATCATTTTTACCCTATATGATATTATTTTGTCACCTATTTAAATTATTTTTGTAGAAAAAGTCTGAATTGCTGCATGTATTTCATGAATATATTTGTATTTTTTCCAGACGTTTGTCTAATAAAACAACTTCAACTATATGGTGTCTGGCAAACTTTCAACCGAATAACGTTCAGTAAAGAACATTATAATTGACAAAATATATTTATTTAAAATTTTATTTTAATTTAGTACAAGCCCCTTACTGGAGTCCTCTGTCCTCTGACACTTAAGCTCCTAAACTCCTTAAATTATGTAAACATTATGTATAACACAGAAAATAATTTACAGTACTCAAGTGTTGTTTAACAAGTATAAACTCATTCATTCATTTTTTATTTCGGTTTAGTCCCTTCGTTAATCTGGGGTGGCCACAGCGGAATGAACCGTCAACAATATGTTTTATACGCAAAGGATGCCCTTCCAGCTGCAAACCAACACTAGGAAACACCCATACACACTCATTCCCACACATACACTATGGACAGTTTATCTTACATGTACCTTATTCACAACGCTTTTGGACTTGCAAACTCCACACAAAAACGCCAACTGAGGCAGCTGAGGCTAGAATCAGCGACCTTCTTGCTGTGATGTTCCCACTGTGCCACTGTGACGCCCAAATACAAACTCATTACGATCTTTTGGAAAATGCAGTATTTATCTGCCCTGTACTCCATTCTACATCTTTATTCAATATCTGGCGATTGTTGCCTACTTGATGAAATCACACTCTAAAGTGACGTTACTGGTGTGTTGCAACAAAAGGATAATGGTCTTACGGCGCCATCTTGTGTTTACACTTTATAAGACAGCAACAAGCCTAGATATAAATATGTGATTGCTACTTTGGTTTCTAAAAATATGGAGTGAGCTACCTAAGACCCCGGAAAGAAGTAAGAACTATACAAATTGACATCAGAAAAAACATGAGGCTGAGTAATTCTAACAGTTGTGAAATTTTCTTTAAAATTGTTTGTTTACATTGTTGTTTTACAGAGAATCTTTATAACTAGCAAGGAGTATTTTGGTTATCCGATGTTAGCCTCTAAATAAAGAGTGTGCTGGATTTACTAATAGATAAAACAGACACATTAAACAAATCAAGAATAACAATAAAACACTTAATGTTGCAAAATATTTTAAATAATTGTTCTTCTGAACTTTATATCTATTAAAGAATCCTGTAAAAAAGTTTCACAAACATATTAAGTAGCACAACTGTTCGTGTAACTTTGATTTGTGATAAGAAATGTTTCTTGAGCACCAAATCAGCATATAATGATTTCTGAATCTGAATGATCATATACAGTATGTAAAGACTAATGTAATGACTGCTGAAAATCCAGCTTTGTCATTATAGAAACAAAGCATTTTAAAGGTTATCAAAGGAGAAAACTGTTATTTAAAAATGTAATATTACTATTTGCACTGTGTTTTTGATTTTCTAAATGTAGTCTTGCTTAGGCTTCTTTCATTAAACTTTTATAGTGGCTTTGAAGGACATGATTTTAAAAAGAAACCTGCCCCGCAGGCACCTTCATTTCAAAATGACATAATAAAATATGTCAAAAACATATTAAAAATGTAGATCCAATTGATGCCAATTGACTACCTTGATGTCAAAACGACATCCAACTGACATCTAGCACTGGACTGTCTTGTAATTGAACTGTGAAAGTGTTCTTTGATGCCAATGTTAGATGTCAATTTGGTGTCATTTGGACATCAAGGTAGTTTACATGCATTGTATGAATACAAAATCTAGTGTAAACATAATTTGGAATTTAAGATAAATTACTTTTTTATATTATAATTCATTTTTGTTGTTTTTCCATGGTCAAAGGGGCATCCATGTGTGCATGTCAATTGGAAGTCAAGGTTTTGACATGAAATAGACTTGTATTATATATATCCAATTTGAGTTCAAAGTTCTCAAAAAAAAAAAAAAAAAATCTCCCAAAGATTTCTTCAGGAGCAGGACAACATATGAGCTGCCTTGATGACAGAACTTCCACAAAACAAACTTCCAGACTAACATAAAATGTCTTCACAGATTTGTGTGGGGAAACTGATTGTTCGTCTCTTGTTCCTGCATGGTACAGATGTCTTACCGCCGGTGTTCCTGGAAAAACACTTCCACAAAAGTCTTACGACACCTGGCGAGGAGAGATGGGTGCTGATGCCTCCTGCAGACAAACAGAGAGATGACACATGAACGGTTTGCATAACTGTTATATGATAATCGAGCAAAAGTTTTGCATTGTTTTGACAACTATTATTTCAGCATTTTCCTCAAAAGAGACTGTAGTTTGTTGACTTTTCGAAACATAAAATAATCTGAAATGTTGTATATACAACAGTATTGTATATACAATATTGTATTTACCTTTTGTGGGATCTCCAAAAGTCATTAAGTACCTGAATGTCATCTAATCAATAATTTATCATAAGTCCAACATCGACAATAACAACAAAACAGAATATTTCACAAGATTTGGTCAATGCATCAGTTTTACAATTAAATATTCTATTTTTCACCATATGGTATTTATTATTAAAATGATAAATAAAAAATTACAGATTATTTCAAAATTTTGATCTGACAATTTTTTTTTTTTTTATACAAAAGACAGACATAAATAATCAGAAAATGTTATAACCTCTTTAAAAATATCTATTGATTTATACAGTACACACTTTTTGATCATTTCATTTCACAGAGTAACTGCAATACCGGTCAGTAACTTTTGTAAAGTTTACACTACAGCAGTGTACTAAAAACGTCAGGTTTTTCTTTGCAATGTTGAAATGTTTAGCATACAGACAGCAACACTCATGAAATTAATTTACAAGTTTTCGTGGAGACATAAAGTGCACAATAAGTATCTTTTCAGTTGAAAAAAATGTCATCAGATGTGATGATCAAAAACATATTACACTATCATAGTCGTCAAAGGTTTTAAGCTTCCTAATTAAGGCTGATGTGTACATTATTTATTTACCAGACCAGCATGATGAAAGCATACACAATTATCCAAACTTTGAAAACATGGAGCTCAAGCAAATGACAAATTCATTTAAAACAAAAAAAGTCATGCCAGATTCCAGACAAGCCACTTTAAAACAATTACATTTTGACCAACAATACTTTGAAAATGCACATAAAACATGTTCATCTTTTTTAATGAGCTTGTTTATTGCTATTTTCCCTACCTAACAATGTCCATACGTTTAAGGATTTGGCTTTTTCATAAAAGCAAGGGATTCACAAGAGTCATCCATGGTACTTGACTCAATCATGCTTGCGATTCATCTGAGTCCTCCCTCTGCAATCCGACAGCCTTCATGCGCTCCACAGAAATCTGGTTTTGCCCATGTTTATAATAGCGCCTTAAATCATTTGGCTCATCGTCTGCCATATCTTCGTCCTCACTGCTGTAAATAACAGAGGCCATGTTCTTATATGGATTATTGTCATCATCGTTATCATAATCCTCAGCAGCATGAGCGACTATATATTCCTCTCTGGGCCTTACAGATGTATTTGGACACATACACATATCCTCCTTTCCTATAGGATTCTCAGAAATTTCCTGCTGTGTAACAGACACTAAAACATCTGCTCTGGTCTCCATTTGATTACACACAACCACAATTTGTCTGTCATCATTTTTGGCCACCGTTTTGTCCTCATCTTTAAATGAGACTGATTTTGAAAAACCTTTTCCATTGCTCACAGCTGAAGATGAGAGGTTTACAGTGGTCATTTCTGGAAGCACCAGGATGGGCAGCATGTCTTGCATTGGGTTGTCGTGTTCATATATCCTGTTTGGTAGATGAAGTATGTCTTCTTTTATGGTGTATAAATCATTGGAGTTTTCATGGTCAACGTATGCAGGGTTGTGGTAGGAGGCGTCCTCTATTAGCGATATGGGACATCCTGAATTGACCTGTTGACCACGGAGAAAGGGCATTTAGGGTCTTCTTGAACAATCTTGAGATATTGACAGGTCAATTCCACTGCTGAGGTCCACAGCTGATTATACAGTGACATTGATTCTTGAGACAAGGGACAAACACTTTTATTTTGTGTACAGGGAAATTGTTTTGGGGATTATCCTATATTTTTGGCCTTGCTACTCTTGTTTTGTCACAATATGTATGTTTGCACAGTCAATTAGAAAGAATAATGGGAACTTTCTTAAAAAAATTGTTATAGATTATCAAAATACTGTGTTAAACAAGGTAAATGTTATATATATATATATATATATATATATATATATATATATATATATATATACTCATTATAATTTTTAAAAGTTAATTTATTTTTTATATTTGCGGTTCAAATACGTTCTGGCCCATTTTGTCTAGTAGATTGTTATATATAGAATAAAATAAATAAATAAAATAAAATGTAAAAATAAATAAAATAAATATATAATAAAAAATAAATAAAAAATAAATAAATAAAATAATTTATATATATATATATATATATATATATATATATATATATATATATATATATATATATATATATATATGTATGTATGTATATAATAAAAACTTTTACATAATGCATTCTGCATTTTATAGTTAAAATGTATAAGATATAAACAAATTGGAATAATTGATTATACATATATAAACCTGATTATTGTGTAATTAAACCACATTCACACTGTATGACTGTGCAAATATGCATAAATAATGTATAATGTACATATAATGTAATGTATAATATATAATGTATAATGTATGGATGTCTAATTCATATTCAGAAATCTTAATGGAAACATAATATATAAAAGTGTGAGGAATGCTTTGTCTCATCTCTCAAGAATCCGAATCAGTCTTGAGAAACAATAACTACTACAACATATTTGACAGTGTTTATTAGAGTTAAAGGTGTAATACAAACACGTACACAATAATACACAATACCTATTTGACACCAGACAGAAAACACAACGAAACACACTAATCCATCAGACAAAAAGGGCTGCGCTTCGTATACTGACCGGCTTAAATGGTGCACCACATTTATAAAGAAATTTAATACTAAACAATCCCATTTAAACCAGCCTATCAGGAGTATACGGCTTTCAGTTTCTCAGAAAACACATCTCACCTTCACGAGGGACAATGACACTGAAGAACACGTCTAGCTACTTAATGTCAGGTACTTACCTGCTGAAACCATCTTAAGCTCTACATAAGAGGAATTAAAGAGCAATGTGAGGGGAAGATGACAAGGGCACGAGCTGTTTGACTGTGACAATGAGGCATTGTATTTGTATTATTGTATTGTATTTTTTATGGGGTGTTGAAGGTCTATTTCTGTTGAGAATGCTTGACATCAAAATTGACCCATTGACTGTTTGGTGATAATGGTGGCGATCAAATTGAGAAACAAATACAATTTCAAAATGATATCATTAAGCATACGTCTCGGGCTACATATGAAGAGTTCAGATGCAAAAACCTCTAAATCCCTTCTGAAAGTTTCTTCTAAAATAAGCATTTTTGGTAAGTTCCTGTGTGTATGTTCAGTAAATCCACTTTTAGGGCAAAAATATGTTCTTTGCATTACCTTTAAGGTGAAATAACTGAACAGAAATATTGGAGGCTGAGGAAAAATGCTTATTCTAGGTTTTTGCATCTGAACTCTTTATATGTTCTGAAACACAACAATTAAGAAAAAGATAAAAGTCCTTCAAATTTTGAACAAGAAAAATTATTTGAAAAATGTATGTTATTCCGGAAAATAAAGTGTTTACAAATTGATCTCTATTTTGATCTCCAATTTAATTTGAAATGAATTTTATTTTAATATGCACAATGTCTTATAATACACAGAAATGAACAGTTTTTCATATTTTAGTGATTGATATTTTGTATTTATGCTTTTTAATTGCACTAAGAGACCTTGCTCTTTCCTCCAAGGTCCTAATTTCCTCCATTTAATGCTGAAAAGTGTGAAAAGGTGATTTCATTGACATTTTGTATCATTTGAAGTGATATATTGTCTGGGTTGGTATTGCAGATTACAGTACAAAAACCTGGTAATAACCTGTACTTTTTATTTTGTTTAACAAACTTATTTCTCTATATATATTTTCTGAAACAACATGGTAAAATGTCAATAAGAATACTTTAAATCAATGAATTTTCAACATCAAAAGTCAACAGAGCAGAGATAAAGGTCTCAAGATGCAATTCATAATCAAAAAAAAAAAAACTGAAAACACCTATAAATCATAAAGGAACATGTTCAGACTAAATGTCTTTCTTAAATGTCTGTCTAGTACTGTGAGCCTTACTCTTAAGATTCTGTAATCTTTACTGCACATGTATAACATGTGTTCTATATTTCTCCAGCTATTTTTAATGTATTTTTAATGAGCGTTCTGGCATTGCAGAATATGCTAAGATATAAAAAAATGCGAGCTCACAGCTGGTGTTACTCTGTTGCTTTGGTGCTAACAGATAAATGTGAGAAATCACACTGCAGCATTCAGGCAAAAAGTCAGTTGTTGTATTGGTTAATGTAGGGGCTGATCATTTGCTGCACTGTAAAAATGCCAATTAATAAAACTAAATTCATTAATAAAGCTAAATTAATTAAAAACAAGTGAATTCAGGGTGTAATGTTCACACTGTCATACGCATATTTTGTTAAAGAACTTAAAGAATAAATAAGAAAAAATGCAGTTTGATAATGCTGAATGTGTTTGTTGCATGAGCACATGTGATTGTATTATGGTATAATTATTATTTAGAATATGATCAAATGCATTTAAATGTGTAAACTGAACTCTAATGGGAACTATGACAAAAGAATGATTGCATGCATATATAAATTATATGTCTGTTGCATTTGTATAACAGCACCACAGTTCACCTGGAAGCCACCTAAAACTTTTTTCAGTGGTCTTGGTGGTCAGCTTGTTTGGTAATTATGTTTTGGATGGCTACGATCAAACATATTCAGATTCAGATAAGTATTCAGATTCAAATAAAGTCGTTTTACCAAAATTCCAACCCAATTTACTAGGGTTACCACAGGTCATTAAATTTCTGAAGTGTCATGGAATATCAAAAGGTCTATTCAAGACATTGAAAGTCCTTGAATTTTATATATAGAAAATTTAATTAAAAGAAAATCATTTTTTGTTTGTCTTTTTAAATTCTACTTTCATTCTATTAAAATGCCATTTTTCTATGTTAATGTATTGTTGTATATTTTATATATTGTTATATAATCTAACATGTTCTATTCCATTTTATTCCTTTATTCTTTGTCATCGGGCAATCATTTTAGTCAAATGCAGCAATGGGGCCACTTTGTACTGTATATAAAAATAAAGTTGAACCTTGGACTTAAGTGTCATAAATATACACTTTTTTTCGACATAAAATTTGACACTGGTGATTTATTATGCTAATACAATGTTAGGATCACACATTACAGGAAAAATGTCAATTGCAAAACCGCTAACAATAAAGACAGCCAATATGACCATCAAAGTGGATAGATTTGCCTTGTAATTAACTGTAAAAGGTGGTATTCAATGTGATATAGAGAATCTTACCACATTTGGGTGCTTCCCAAGAGCTACAGCACCCCTTTCCACTGGATCCCGCCTCTCTCTTCGCCTCTTGGCCAGCCAGAGGAAGAGAAACAGGGCCAACACAGCCACTATGAAAACAACGGCAGCGATGCCACCGGCCATCCCAGCATGCATATCTCCAAACAGTCGCTCCTCTCCAAATGGACTTCTGGGAACTGCCCGAGAATTTAGAGAAGGGAAAAGGCTACAATTACTGACAAATACTTCATCTTTAGTGGCCAGTTCTAAGGTGATTTATCATTTAGGTTGTCATTGAATGACTGCCAAAAGAAGAACATGGAGAACCGGAGGTGGACGGAGGTTAATGCGAATACAATGAGGCTAAATCTAATTTAACACCTTATTCATGCCTTTTAAATAATTAACCATGGCTAATCAAATTAACCACATGAATGATCTGTCTGAATTATCATCGGTAGGGGTTAACCCTCTATGGTACAGTGTTGCCATATGGCAAAATAGTATTTTCCTTCACATCTGAAAATCAGAGACAAAACAAATGCATCTAAAATTCAATGTTAAAGCAATGTTTTTGTTTGTTTGTCGTTTTATTAACATATTTTTACTAGAGGGGTTTACATTCTGACATGAAGTAAATCTGATGTTAGTCTGCAAAAAAAAAAAAAAAAAAAAAAAAATCCCAAATGTGAATCATATACAGTAGGTGTGTTTCCCCCACATTGTTAGAGTGGCTAATTAAAAATATTGGTAACCACCAACAGCATAGGCAAGACACAAGTTTCCATCTCCCATTATTTAGCATTAATCATTTTTATTTGCACAAGCTCTAAACCACCTCAAGTAAAACTTAAAATGGGAATTAAAGGATTCTTATTCAGAATTTGGTGTTTAAATCACTCGTTTCTCATGCAAAGCTTCAAAAATTTCCATAAACAAAGGGTGATGGAAAGCCAGCTGATGTCAAGCAGAACAAATAATACTCCATTTACTTCATTCCAAAATATAAATAAAAACACATCCACATTTATTTATTTACTTTTTTATTTGTATGTTTGTTTGTTTGCTTATTTGTTTCCTTTTTTATTAATTGTATATAAAATAATTGGATAGGCTAAATTGTAAGTAGTGTATGTGTGTGAATGAGTGTGTGTGGATGTTTCCCAGAGAAAGGTTGCAGCTGGAAGGGCATCTGCTGCGTAAAACATATGCTGGATAAGTTGGGCTGTGGCTGTGGCGACCCCAGATTAATAAAGGGACTAAGCCGGAAAAAAAAAGAAAAATGTATATAAAATGTAGAAATAATCAATATTATTGTAAAGAAAGCGAATCACTTTTTGCGAAGTCTGTTGTCTGTGTCGATCCATAGCAGCTAACTTTTTTTCTAATATTAGGTTGTCATAATTATTATTAGTCCTTTTCATCCACCGAGCCACACGGGGCGTAACATGCACAACTAGTAATCTTCTAATTATTCTAGTGCTGTAAGTGAGTAATTAACAACATATATTTCATTTTCTGTAAACAACTTCTTTAATATATTAATTTACATTTTTAAATAATAATAAAAAATTATGACACTAAACTAATAATAATCATTCATATATTACCATTAACATCTACTAATCACAATGACTCTTTGTAGTTGCTGATGCATTGACCATTAATGAATAGTTTAGGTCTTCATATAATGATCAACAGGAAGTTGCTTAGACTTTTATTTCACTACCCTGATACACGTCCAGTTGAAACAGAAGACTGAGTAGGGGTGGGGCTTTCTTTTTGCACATTATTCCCTTGTAGCAAACATAATATTTATGCATGGCCTGATGCATATTAGTGCACCTGTACTGTACAGTGTTGCCAAATATCTTATTACTAAACCATGATCTTTATTTAAAGGAAAATCAGAATGAACACACAGCTTTTACCTGGTTGTCCTCTCTGCAAAACTTCAATGTCTACCGAAGCATGGGCTGCCTCGCCTGACTCTTCATCTGTTGCAATAACCTGTGTGAAAGGAAATAATCAAATGTAATCTCGTCAAAACTATAAACATCTGCTGATTTGTATAAATCATGATAGTCACCTCTAGGATGTGTCGGTCAAATGCTCTGAGCCGATCTGTCTTAGCAATCACGATGCCATCCTGGGTTATGTGATACAGTTTACTGCTACCTGTCAAGGGCTGCATTGTATAACGTAATTTGGGGTTAATTCCCTGTAAGATAGCAACAAATAAGGATTGAAATGATCTAAATGACATATTCTGATATGTTTATGTAATATTTTCTATAATGCAAATGCACTCTACATCTCTGAAGTCTCTGTCGATGGCCTGGACCAGTAGGACTTGGTTCCCGTAGGTAGTGACCAGTGTAGCAGGACTCGAGCTCTCGATGAGGAACCCTTTATAGACGGTCTTGTTGAAGAATGGAGGAAATCTGTTCTCTGACAACACATGTATCAGTGCCGTCGCCACCGAATACTTCTTAGGGTCATTAACCTGCGCAGCCTGTTGGAGTTTGCAAAGGACAAATATTATGATACTTTGTTGACATAATGCACACACATTGCAAAGCAATTTCGTTTTAGTGTCTTCCTCATTGAGTTATGGTAAGTGTTTTCAATATGGTGGGTGAAGGAACTTTTTTACTGTGTACTTGTTAAGATTAGCCATGACTTTGTTGTTCAAAAACACACTTTTTGTTGTTATACCATTATTCGGAGCCTAAATGAAGGGGTGAGGAGTCTGTTTTCCACACGGTGCCGTAGAGTGATCTCTCCTGTTTTCGAGTCGATTGTAAACCTGCCATTATCATCACCTATAAAGACATGGAGTAGTTATAATGATTTACAGCATAGGCCTCATACTCAACTCCTGGAGGGTCGTAGCTCTGCACAGTTTTGCTCCAACCCTATCAAACACAGCTAATCCAAACAATCGAGGTGTTCAAAAGAGTCATAAACACCTTAGTTAGTTGGATCAACTGTGTTTGATCAGGGTTGGAGCAAAACTGTGCAGAGCTGCGGCACTCCAGGAATTGAGTTTGAGACTTATGATTTACAGTAATATAGGTTAAACAGTCAATAACTGTACTGTACAGTAAACTCACCTGACAGAATGCTGTAGACTAGAGGGGTCAGTATGTTCTTGTCTCCGTCTTCAGCAAGAATGGGACCCGGAGAAAAATAAAGCACAGCATCCTGGATCATAAAGAGCATGTTTTTTCAATATAGATTGAATTTTATATTATTTATTTAATCATGTGAAATTTTTATTCTTAAAAAAATAAGAAAATATGCAGCACATAAAAATATGCAGAAAATAAAAATATGCAGCATATTTTTAAAGATAATAATTTAAATAACTAATTTATTTTGGCTTTGTCATGATGACAATGCATATTTTACAAATTATTTTTGCAAGACACTAGTATTCTGCTTAATATGCAATATGAATTAGGTTAAATAGGTTAACAAGGCAAGGCTTTGGACAACAGTGGTTTGTTTCGCAGACAATTGAAAAAAAATCTTAAGGGGGCTTATAATATTTACTTCAGCAGTTTAAAAAAACAGATTTAGTTTTTGTTCCAGACAAACTAAAAGAAATAAAAAAAAAATACTCCAGAAGAAAAATATAAAGGAATATCTGTGAAAATAAATAAAACATTCACAGGAGAGCTTTTCGCTTTGAATATTATTAGTAAGTTTGGTTAAATGATGATTGACAAATGATTAAATGCACATATAAATGGTTTATTTTAGTGCATAGCACTGCACAGTGGTGAAATAAATCAGCTGTGCACAGAAATGGCGACACATACCTCATCCGTTTCCGTGATGTTGACACTGTACACAGGGTTGGTGCAAATATTATGATCTCCGTCTTCATAAACAGGTGCACATGGTTGAAACTGTGGATACTGGTCATCACCGTCTAGGACGTTCACAGTGACGGTGGCTGTTGTGCTGTACTTCTCTTTTGTACTTGTTTCCTGTTGATTTGAACAGCAGAAATTATTTTCTAAAAGGGATACTGTAGTTCACCAAAACATGAAAATTTATTAATTTTCTTTTCGGTTTAGTCCCTTTATTAATCAGGGATCGCCAAACCGGAATGAACCGCTAACTTATCCAGCATGTGTTTTACACAGCGGATACCCTTCCAGCTGCAACCCATCACTCTCATTCACACACATACACCTATACACTGCGGCCAACTTAGTTAATCCAATTCACCTATAGCGCATGTTTTTGAACTGTGGGGGAAACCGGAGCACCCTAAGGAAACCCATGCAAACACAGGGAGAACAAACAAACTCCACACAGCAATGCCAACTGGCCCAGCCGAGGCTCGAACCAGTGATCTTCTTGCTGTGATGCAACAGCGCTACCCACTGTGCCACCATTCACCCAAACATGAACATTCATTCATCATTCACTCATCCTCTACTTTTTTTAAACCAGCTTAAATTTCTTTCTTCTGTTGAACACAAAGTAATATATTTTGAAGATTGTTAGAAGCTAGTACTCATTGAATTCCACAGTATTTTTTTTCAACACTGTATGGTTTCCAACTGTTTCTTACATTCTTCAAAATATCTTCATTGTGTTCAACAGAAGATACAAACTTAGAAAGCTTAGTAACCACTTGAGGCAGAGAGAGTAAAAGGTGAGAAATGTTCATTTTGGGTGAATTGTGTCTTCAATTCTGACTCCTTCAGGCATCTAAATGTCTAACCGTAAACAATCTGTATTTTTAAATTAAAACTTTCACGTACCACAGCATAGATGACCACCTGCAGCTGAGTTTTAGTCTCATAGTCCAAAGGTTTATCCAGGATCACCATCCCGCTGTTAGGCAGATCGATCCTAAAATAGCTGGCATCAGTCTTAATGAGAGGCACACAGTTCTGTTTAAGTTAAATTGTGGAAGGAAAAGGTGGTTCTGTAATGACATTCATTAATTATTTTTCATCTGTACTTTGGACAACTTGTTAAATAAAAGAATAGATCACTCAAAAAAGGTTAAATTACAAAGCATTTACTCAGCATCAAGTGGTTCCAAATGTTTCTTCTGTTGAACACAAATTAAGATATTTTGAAGAATGTTGGACAATAGTAGTCATTTACTTTCATAGTCGGAAAAAATACTGGATGCAAATGGATACCAATTTCTAACATTCTTCAAAATATCTTAATTTTTGTTTAACAGAAAAAAGAAACTCAAAGAAGTGTGCCACAAGTTTAGTGAGAGTAAATAATAATATATATTTTTTTAATTGTGTGATCTATTCCTTTAAGGAGAAATAGTATGACAATATGAAGCACTGAAAACTCATGAAATACATTACTCACTGTAGATTTGTCGACCATGTAAGTGATGGTGTCTCCATCGACATCTCTGGCTTTCACTGTGAACACCATCGAGTTTACAGACAGCAGCTGAGTAAAGAAAAACAAAATTCATATGTAGAATTAAATAGCTATTATTTAAAGTAACAGTTTGATTATGAAAAAGCTTAGAGTAATTAATCAACAATTAATCTACCTCACTTATATATCGTGGTTGAATGGTGTCTTCAATGAAATGTGGCATGTTGTCGTTTTCGTTCAGTATCTCCACCATGATTCGATATCGACCCTGAAATAAGAAACTCTGTGAGATTAGTTGCATTACAACATCACTAAGTATTGTTATATTTGCAATTCAACTTACCCTTATAATTTCATTTTCATAACATGTCAATGCAGCTATCAGGACGGACCCCAAAACCTGCAAATAGCAGGGAAAAAAATCAGATCACACACATAAAGGGTGTACAATAACACAATAACAATAACATACAATAACACATACTGTATCAGCACTGTATTGACAACGTTCTTTGCTTGCTTAGAAAATGCTTCTTGATTTAAGATCTTTTAGATATTTGAACTAGAAACGAGACCAAAAAATAAGTAAAAAAATCAAGTAAACTAGTCCATAAGTACACTATTATTTACATGACCATTCAAAGATTGGGATCAGTAAGGTTTATTTATTTGTTTTTTTGTTATTATTATTATTTTAAGAATGTAATTATAGTGAAGTAAGGAAGACATATGTTAAAAAAATATCTTGATTAAATAAATATACTTCTTTTAAACATGTATTTAATTTGTATTTAAGATTTCTCCAAATATTTAGGTTTAAGCTAACTATATTTATTATTAAAGTTTAATTGCATTATATTAAACTGACATAAAAATCAAGTATCACTCTGGCATGACATAAAAAAATAATTAAGCTGATAACTTTAACATAAAAACACATGTTGTGATGTCTTGATCATTTCATTTTTATTTAGTGTTTGTCGTTGGGTTGTTTCAAAGTCCTGAAGCTTACGGTATGTTATTTTTCTTTGCTCAGCATGCCAACATCTACTTGTGTTAATCACCTCTCGATCCAAGGCCCTTGAAAACGAAGAGTTGAGTCGGATTGTTCGGCCTTCAAGGTAAAACCAGTCTGCATTTTCACCTGTGAGACAGAGCCGGATGCTGCTGGCTCCTGCAGGGTCTCCGTTTATACTGAGGTTGGCTATGAACTCTCCAGTGGGACTGTTCTCTCTGACCGTGGCAAATATATCCTGACCACCAAGGCATAAACTGGCTGTTGTGCAGAAGAGACACTGATTAGACTATGAAAACAACACAAATCAGCCATAAAATCATAGACTGCATTGCTAATTCATAAAACAACACTTCTGTAAACGTAGGTGAGTGCAAGGATAAGCAATTATTCCAGTTGAAAAAACACTAATCACATTATGGAAATTTTCCAGGACATAACACACTGTACAATTCAAACTTTGTCTAAAAAATGATATGCCATGAACCCATCCCCACAAAAATACTATTGTAATTTATAGCACCACATAGTTTATGGACCATACTGTAGTAAAGTTTGCTATATTACAGTATTTAGCACCTTTTGTTAATTAATGCAACACTATAGTAAGCTAATGAACTGTAATGAATACAGTGTACAAGATCATGTGATATACATAAGTTCCTACTTAGTGCATTGTAGTGTAATATGCCCGATTTGTATGATACCAGGCGACATAGTGGCTCAATAGTCAGCACTGTTGCCTCACAGCAAATAGGTTGCTGATTTAAGTCCTGGCTGGGTCAGTTGGCGTTTCTGTATGGAGTTTGCATGTTCTCCCTGTGTTCGCGTGGGTTTCCTTTTGGTGCTTCGGCTCCACAGTCCAAAAACATGTGGTCTAGGTGAACTGGGTTAACTAAATTGTCTGTTGTGTATGAGTGTGTATGGATGTTTCTCAGTGATGGGTTGCAGCTGGAAGGGCATCCGCTGCGTAAAACATGCTGGGTAAGTTGGCGGTTCATTCCGCTGTGGTTCATTCCCGGAATAATTAAGGGACTAAGCCAAAACAAAAACGAAGGAATAAATGAATGAATAAATGAATAAAAAAATCAGTTTTCAGTTCACAATTCCAACATTACTTGTTTATCTTATGATTAAAAGATAAAAATACTTAAAATTCCAGACATTTTATCTTGTAATTGTTAAAACACTTCACAGTTAACATCTCATAAACTTATTTTCCTGAGAAAATTTTGCACACACACAGATTGGTTCTTCAGACGTTCTATGTAGTAGTTAACATCACTTAGTGGCCCGTTGGCATACAAGGCAACCAATTTCAGTGCTATAAAGCACCAGTGTAATTTTTAGCTTTAGTTATTCTTTGAGGCGGTTTAGATGAATAATCTTTAAAGATGCAGGTGCTATGTATTACTTAAAATAGTTTTCCTATGATTAAGAGCCAAAGAAGCACTTTTAGTGCTATTTGGCATTATTTTTTACAGTCTTGTAAACACAATAGATGCAAAGTCACCAGACATAATGTGAGTGCCTTGCCTTGAGTGGGGCCAGTGTCATTTTATACAAGAACCACAATCAACTTTCAAGTTCTACTCTGCATTTTTTTATAATGATTTTTTGCAAAGTATCCTAAAACTTGCCATGCTATGAAAGTAAATCCGGCTTTAAAAATCATCTTGATTTTAAGCAAGAGTATACATTTCCTCTCCCTTTGATCTGATTTATCAAGAACAAAACAGCTATAAATATGCTAAAATGAATGTCATTCGTGATTTTTCTTTCCTGCGGGCTGAAAGAATCAAAGCTCTCAATACCAGAAGAGAGTCGTTCAGAGACTCGTCATCATTTCCCTTAACCTCATAACCATTTCTGGCACGTATGTTAACAGTCTCTGTATTGCAGTGCAGTGATTCGTGAAAATGAGCCTCAGGGTTTCAGATCGTGGTTTCAGAGAGCGAGGTGTTTACCTTTTGCGATGTGATAGAATATGTTCAGTGCCATCTGGCAGAGGAACAATCTCCATGGTGTCAACATGGCTGATATTCCCCCGGGCTCACGTCTCCTTGTCCCAACTGTAAAAGAAATGCCAAATCCTGTCAGTCAATGGCGCTGAAGGATTTAGAGTGCTCATATTACCTGTCACATAAAACAAACTTTTTTATTCAAACCAAAGGTCAATTAAATCAGAAGATTAACAAAGCATATTTATACTGCCGCATCACCATCTGAAATTCATCAGTCGAGCTGCTCAAGTGAGTCAAATCAAACTGCCAAATTAATTACTAACCTGTTAACAATTCTTGCCCCCTAGGACTATTAAGGAATGTTCGCTTTTGGCTCCCAGAACATTCTGTTTTTTATGTTTAAATTTAGTTTGCAGGAAAGTTTTCTTTATAAAAACAAAGTTAGTTACGTTTTTTCTAATGTTCTCCAAATGTTTCTAGAACATCCAACTTATTTAATCTGATATCATTTAGAGTGCTGTACATCAGTATTTGTAAAGTCTGTTGTCCATAATGCAAACTTGTGCTGGAGAAATACATCCAGCATTTAGAAAAAAGTTCTATTTCCTTTTACATTATGTCCTTAACTATTTCCTTATACCATATCTGAACAAGTTATTTTTAGGTTGTTATAAATAAGCTAAATAAGTTTATTTATTATAAATAAATAAACCTATTGTTCTAAAGGTTCTTAGAACAATATTTTGTGGATGCAAACAACAGCAACAACAATAATAATAATACTAAACAAAAATGTACTCATATGATGTCATTTTAGATTCTTAAAAAGATTATAAAAAATAATATCCATTTAAGTATAAAGTACTAAGAGGTCTAAAGTGTTACCAAAATAATCCAATGGGAATCAACAACTAATGTTGTGGGAACATTACATGTTTGCTGGGTAAACATTGGAGTCTTTCCTCTCACCAGTACAGTGTTTGTTTGTTTACTCCTGTTTGGATATTAGTCACCTTGAGTCATCACCCAGGGAATTTCCTAGTACTTAAAAACCATTATGATGTGTTTAGTCTGTGTCAAGCCAACAGGCTGGCAGTGCTGTCGGTTTTGTGACCTCCAGGTTGCTCTTTTGATCCTCCACCTTCCACCTCAACGCACCCCTGCACATAAGAGCTTTTTCAAATCCTCACATAATACCTGCAAAGCGGCCTAAGAACTGTTGTTTCCCCTCCTAAGTTTTGCTGCGATGCTAAACCAAATAAATGTTTTTCAAAGAACAAATATTAAATATTATATTATTTTACATTGTTCATTTTGTACCCCACAACACAGAATTACACATCTTGTTCAATACAGATTATCTGATTGGATGAGACAGTTCAAGCTAAAAAGCTATACCCATGCTAAAAAGTCATATACCCAAACCCAAAATTAAACACGGTTTTAGTAGGTTTACCTTGTTTTATGGCCGATTGATGGCCATATCCACAGTTCCACTACAAATGCTGTGGTAAGTGATTAGCATGAGCAAAATATGGTGAATTTGTGGTTCTGTTTTGTTCAACTAGCATTCAATAATGACGTTTTTGCTTGTTTGTTTGTAATAAAACCACAATTTAAATGTTTTATTTAATTTTTAAGCCTTCCAAAAAGGCATTTTATGCTTTACCAATTTCTTGCATAATCACAAATGCTATGGTTAAGCTGTGATTAGCTCGCATAAGCAAAAGTACAGTGAATTTGTGGTTCTGTTTTGTTTAACTAGCATTCAATGATCTTTTTGTTTATTAGTTATCCAAAACATGATTTAACCTACATTTACAAATCTTTAAAATAAGGGTTTTCTTGTCACTAATTTCTTTGCAAGAAAACAAAAGTAACAGCAGTAAGGCTAGTAAATAATTCATCACATTACCACTAGGGGACGCCATCACCTTCAGTCTTAATTTACAGGATGAGTAAGATTATAACGACGATTCTTCAGGCCGAAAACAAACCTCACTGTGGGGGAGCCGGGTAATCGTATTGTGATCTTTGATAAGGTGAAGTTCACAGCTGATCAGGTTTAATGTGGTTAAACTGGCTGTGGATAATGCTGCTGGGTTAAAACCACTCAGGTGATGGCATATCTCTGCTCTGTCTTGCTCAATTCAGTGCATTGCCAAAAAAAAAAGCATACATTACTAAAATAATAGCATGGACTACTGTATTGGCCTCCTCACTGGCCTTCCCCCCAAAAAAGTCAGATAGTTCAGCTCACCCAGAACACTGCAGCCAGGGTTCTGACCAGAATCAGAAAATCAGAGCACATCACACCTGTCCTCAGGTCTTTAAACTGGCTTCTACTTACATTCAGATTTTAAAGTATTATTACTTGTCTATAGCAGCGTGAATCGGCCTTTAGCTACTATGCTGGAATCAGCTCCCAGAAATGATCAAATGTGCTTTAACATTAGGCACATTCAAATCAAGACTTTAAGACACATCTGTTTAGCTGTGCCTTTACTGAATAAGCACTGTGCTATGTCTGACAGATCGCACTATTATGCCTTTCTTTTCTTTTTTCTTTTTTAATATGTGTTTTAGCACATTTTAGTATGTTTTCAATCACTTTTATTATTTGCTATATAAAGCACTTTGAATTGCCACTGTGTATGAAATGTAATATATAAGTAAACTTGCCTTGCCTAATTTATTTTTAAAATAATCAGTATTACCATAATACAGTAGACTACGTAAATGCTGTACATTCTTTGTGAGGCTTATATTACAATACCATTAAACATCATATATATGAAGTCTGTCAAATATCACATTCTATTTTGTAATTTGGGAAGTCAATAATTTTATTCAGTTATTCATTACTGGTTCTTTCTCTAATCAAGACCCTGATACAAGCACATTTAAAAGGGTAGTTCACCCTAAATTTAGCATTTTCTCACAATTAAAAAAGTCTCAAAAGGTTCTAAACCTTAATGAATTTCTTTCTTTCTTTGAACACAAACAGATATTTTGAAAAATGATCAGGAAACCATTGAAAAACAGTACATAATAAAGAAATACCATGGAAATCAGTGGCTACCAGTTTTCGCCCTTTTTCAAAATATCATCTTGTGTTTAGAAACTCAGATAGGTTTGTGTAAGTGAATGGTCAGGAAATGGTGACAGAAATTTCACTTTTGGGTAAACTATCCCTTTAACAAATGTATTATTCAGAAACTGATCGTTCAAATGCAGCACAGAATGTTTTAAAATACGTCATTGTAATCCTTGATCAAAAAGCCTTGCTAACTCATACAGTGTGTAATCAATGATCGCTTGGATCCAGGATGACTGTTTGTGGATTGCATGTGATTAAGGATTAAATGGAGTAATTAATGCGAAACAGGAAGTAGGTCTCTGCCACAACCAAGATTATGGGATTACAGCACAATATGGTTTAATATTCTTGCGGCACATGGCAGCCCGCTATTAATTATGCATGTCTCTGAGTTTGTCTGAGAGTGTTGATGGAGACCACTTTGCCAAATGACAGCTTTTCTGAGTTTCAGCAGAATTAGCGATGTGGCTGCATTGTGTTGTTTTGATTTGATTAGTCTAATCTCACACTCGAGAGGCTCATCAGCAGAGATGATAGTGCTTTTCTCAACAGTGATTGCCGGTGTATTTTAAGAAATTCTGAAAAGTGTTTGTCATTTGTAAGGAAAATCATGCCCAAACTGCTGAATTACGTTTACCTACATTAAACTTAATAGGTAAATGCTCCTTTGTGCTGTAAATTACTTAAAAAACATGAAAGTTTGGATTAAAACATGATTAAATTAAGCAAGCTGATGAAAACAACTTACTGTAAATCAAACATGTACTCTATAATGTTACAAAAATACATATATATTTTAAACAAATGCTGCTCTTCTTAATCCTAAAAGTCATTCATCAATGTTTTACAAAAAATAGCTAGTAGCAACTTTTTGAAAAACAATAATGATAAAAAGCACAATACTAGAATAATATCTGAAGAATTGTGTAATAATACGGACATCGAATTAATGATTGGTCTCTGCATCAAATCTAATTATTATGCCATTTAATATTTAAAGCATGACAGAAGCAAGTTTAGTACTTTAATGTTAGAAAAATTAAAAATTAGACTGTTAATTAATAAAAAATCATGTTAATATTATAATTTAGGATTATCAAAATATGATTTGTTAATAGTGGAAATAGCACATTTGGTTTATTTATTTATTTATTTTTGTGGGTGAGACTGTGGACTGTCTATGCATGTTATTTGTGAGAATTTGTCAGCATTAATATTTATTAAATGCATCACAGAAAACAGAGCACATGTCAGAGGTTTACCTGAGCTAATTCATGACTTTAAATCAGCCTTTAAACAAAAAATAAAACCTTATTTGACGCTTACTTTTAATTATTAATTTTTATTTTGTTATTTGACTTTTAAAATATTTTTTTGTGAAATTTACTAGCTCTTTATTAGTGAAAGCCAGTCATGCACCAACTTTTTTTTCAGTTTGTAAGAGTTGTGTGTTTAAATCTGTGGAAAAACATTAATAAGCCTTACAGAGAGAGACCTTTAACGCCAGCAATGTTTGAAAGCGTAATGATTCGTACTGTCTCCTAATAGACACGACCATTAGTCTCATTAGAGCAGCTTAAGAAGTAAACTTGAGCAAAGCGACACTATCAGCATGAAGCCAGACCAGCCAGTAAACCAAAAAAGAAAACAGTTTTCTGATAAAACCAAAGACAAATGTAACGTTCCCATCAAAGTCACAAAACTATCCGTATTCCTGTCATACTTATAAGATCAGGTCCAAAGCTGTGCTGACTGGATGCTTCAGTAATCAGATTGTTTTGAGACTGATCTGAGCATTCATACAGATGTCTGTCATGAACTAAAGCAAGAAAAATGCACTTTCCTCTGCATCAAACATTCAGACACTGTAAAGCAAGTCACTGCAGGCAAAAAAATATAGATATTATTTTTAAAGGCACCCCTAAATTTTGAGATCTTTTGAGTTTTTTTACAATCTAATGTAAAGAAAGCATCCGAAACGCACTTTTAAATGTTTCTTTTGTCACAGATTTTCAATTAAAACATCAATTAAAAAAATGTTAAAGATAAAATAATGAGTTTTTCAACATACTGCAAAATTTAATTAGTATATATTTTGATGGTTTTTAAAAAGGGATTTGTTCGTACACAGTTTGACAAATAATTGTGAAAATCTATTTTGTTCCTGCCTACTATTGCCAACTATTTTGTTCACAAAACGAATGAAACAAGAATTGTAAACTCAATTTTTATAAAATGTATGCAAATTAGCACATATTTAATGAAACAATGCCTGATTTGCATACATAAGAATGCCAATTTACAAAACTTGTAATTCAAAAAAAGTTGGAAAATTCTTAATATAATAAATCTACATGAAAAGTATGATGATGCCTTTGAATTAGTCACGTTTTTACCCTCTTCACCTGCAGTATATTGCTTTACTCGCAAAAAAAGAATGGCTCATAAAACCCAGGCATGCTGGGAAAGCTTTTGCCACAGTCTTAACAAGAAAGCAACAGTTGTCAATGTGCTGTGAAGTGTAAACAACATGATCACACACTACAGCAAACACACAAACTCTCAGTATTTCCTCACCGTTCTTTTCCTTTGTTTCTGAGCTCAGGGGATCCCGCTGTCGCTTTCTGCATCGGACGCTCCTGTCCCTCGCCACATGTCTCTCCCTGAAACCTGCGTCTCAAGGGACAGAATAGAACCACAGTGCAAAATGTGACAGATTTCTGCAGCTAGTTAAGTCAGAGCGAGAGAGAGAGGGAATTAAGAGCTCTCACACACAGCAGAGCGAGGGCTTAGACAGCATTTCCAGGACAGGATAACGTGAGCTCAGGCGCTGACGCTAATACAGTCCAAGGTGTGCAAATGCAGACGGTTTGTTGTTATACATGATCCACCTGCCTCATGATGTAGAGTTCAGTCTGTACAACTGTAAATCGGGTCAAAAAGCTCATTCCTGCTGCAGGAAACATCATTACGTTTACAGTACTCATGTAGCAGATATTCTAAAGAGACTTACTGTACAAGCGAGGATAAATGAAACAATTCAAATAATTAGCAGTGTACATGCTACAAACAGTCAGTAAGTTAGTTTAGTTTTCTTTTTACCGAGAGAGGAGCGAGTATGTCCTACGGGTTGTTTGTAAAATCTACTCACCTGTGTGGAGTTTTCCAAGATGTTTAGAATGCTTGTAAGAAGGTGTCTGGTGCATACGGAGTGGACAAGTGTGTATTCTACAGGTGGTTTGTCAAGTCCACTCACCTGTGAAGCACACTCAGAATTGCACAATGTGTCCAAGAAGTATAGGGTGCTTATAAGAAGATGTTTGGTGCATATGGAGATATATTATATTTCTGGAAACATTGAGTGATGATAAAACCATGACATTTTACTTCCACTTTGGACAGTGTATATAAAGTTTCCAATCAGACCAAAATATATTCAACTGTGCACCAGGGCTCTGTCCACACAGACAAAAGGTTTGGCATTTTGATTATATCTGCGGGTGAAGAATTGTTTGGTCACTGTAGGCCTTTTGGTCTTCTAAAATGTTGAGTGACTGTATGTCTCTAATTTTGATCTTTAGTGTACACTACTGGAAGTTGAAAATAAATAATATTAAATTTGGTGGTTCATTCCGCTGTGGAGACGCGATAAATAAAGGGTTTAAGACGAAGGAAAATTAAAGAATGAATGAATGAATTACATTTTTGATTAATCACCCCATGCGTTTATTTTGTACTTTGTAAATAGGTAAATGTTTCTATTTCAGTTATCTTTTTATTTTAGTTAGTTATTCAATTTTAGTATTTCATTGTATTGCAATTTATCATTTTCATTTTGCCCTACATTTACATATTATTATTTATTTCAGTTTGAAGTAAACAACCTTTTCTGAAAGTTAAATTTAACAAAACATTGTCTGCATTACAGCCATAATTACTTAGAAATTATTTAATTATTGTAAAAAAATTATTTAAAAAAATGTTTTTGAAAGCTTCTGGCTCAACTTTTATTTATTTAAACTCGCCTTTTCATTCATTTTCATTTGTGCTTTTTATTCATTTAATAATTAAAGAAAAATAGTAATAATAATAGTAGTAGTAGTAATAAAAAAACAATAGTACATTGCTTTATGAATCTTTCTATTTACAGTGTGAAATGTGACCACACATTACCGAAAGGCTGCATGAGGATTGATGTTGTTTGTTAATTAGCTCCAGCAACATAACTGCAGGTACTGATAACTGAAATCTACTTAAGTGTCAAGCGTTTATCTCTGAGCTCTGAGACACAGTCCACTCGTGTTTGTTTACACTGCTGTGTATCTCTGAAGCTGCAGAGTGATTCGGGAAGCACACGTCTTTAATTCTCTTTGACAAGGGATTATGATACCAAGGGACTTTCTCTCTCACTTCTGCTCTGTGTGTATAGAGGACAGTTAACCCAAAGCCCTTCTTTAAAAAAACATTACCTGTCTTGTAATTTTATGTTACTGGATATTTTAAAATGACATGAATGTCATACTTTTTTCCAGCCTAGTAAAATACCCTGTATTTAACCACTTTATACTTCAACCATGTCATTTTACTGACAATAAAAACTGAAATAATCCCAATAGAATGTTTTGTATATTTCAACAACATAAAAACTAAACATGCTTTGGTCATATTATAAAAACTATCCCAGTTCTGTCTTTTAACTTTTTTTCTAATCTTTTTGAGTGTGTGTCTATAATGTGTATATAATAATTTATGCTTTTCCCTCAATCTCAACCTATATTTTTCAAAAATTGCCTTAATTATGACTTGAAATCATTATCTTGATTTGATTTGTCTTAAATTATTAGTTTATATCTCTTAACTTAATTACACTTAATTATTAGTCACAATTTTAACATCTCATGTATTTTTTTTATCTTAATTTACTATGCAATATTTTTTATTGTTTGTCCCAAAGTTTCTGCTTAAATCCCTTAATTTTGATTCAGAATCATTTTGTCTTTTTATGTGATTATCTGTTTCATAATATAGCCTTTTAAGAATCTTAGTTTGTCTTTGGATGTATTTCTTAATTACGTTCTACTATCGTAGTACCATATCACTTAATTGTGATTTATTATGTCATCAATTAGCTTTTTGAAGGTAAACATCTCTTATTATGGCCTAGTACAAGCATGTCCAAACTTTTTCTTATAAAGGGCCAAAAACCAGACTTGACTGGGGGCTGTGGGCTGAAGGTAAATATAGCAAACTGTATTACATTAAAATTTGCCATGGGTAATTTCTTAATTTATTTTGCTAATATAAAAAGCTTTGAAAACATTGCTTTATATAAACCAATGCTGTATAAGTTAAAAGATAATATGTATAATGAACTTATTACAGTAAAAACAAAAAAAATACCATTTATTGCACAATTCAATGGCAAATACCAACACAAGTCAAGCTTTTGCATTGATTAGCTTACAATATTATGTGTATTGTCTTCTACTTGCCGAGACAGTATGCACATTATTAAAATCAGATTCACAACATTTAATTGAAACACTTAATTTCAGTTTGCTATAGAACATTAAAACAGACAAAAAGGTTCAATTCAAAATGACGATCTCTGTTAAAGGGATTCTCCCCACTGCTCCCCATGGGCCAACTTTGGACATCTCTGGCCTAGTATGTCCTAATTTCACAATTTAATGTAATTTGGGCAGCTTGATCTGATAGTTTAGTTTTTGATGATAATATTCCTTAAATGACTTAAATTTATGTAAACTTTAAATCTTGTTGCTTTGACTTCCTACTTTTATTTTCGAGTACCTTCCTTTTAAATTAAAGGGATAGTTCTCTTAAAACTCAAAATTCTGTAATCATTTACTCAGTCTTTACTTGTTCCAAACCTGTTTGACTTTCTTTCTTCTGTTGAACATGAAAGAATATATTTTGAAGAAAGCTCAAAACCTGTAACCATTGACTGTCATATCATTTTTTTCCTACTATGGAAGTCAATGGTTACAGGGTTTCAGCATTATTCAAACTATCTTATTTCATGTTCAGAAAAAAAGAAACTCATAAAGGTTTAGAACCACTTAAGGGTGAGCAAATTGTGAGCACATTTTACCTTTAATATCAAAATTATTATACTAAGTTTTTTTTTTATTAATTACCAAACTTCCACAGTACTAGAAAAAGAAGCTTAAGCACGACTGCACTGAACTACAATCTTCCTCTTTCTCTACGATGTAAAGCTGATCTGCTTTCAGTGGGACCACTCTTTAGCGCCTCATATGAGGGGAGATAATTGGCTTAGACCTCTTGCCATGATTACGCGCCACTGTGGATTAAACACTTTGACATTCACTTCTCATCTACAGGCACAGGTACCACTGCGGGTGCTCGAGGGACGAGGCTGATTCGGAGAAAAACCCTTCAAGATTCAGCCTCACAATCAATCGGAGGCATGTTTGCATCGATCGGCGGCTCGCGGAGGAGTTAATTATCCTCCACCACTGCTTTCTGAAGCATGTCCTTCCCTGTCAGCCTCAGCGCCTCTTAGGCACGTTATCCGCAGATGATTTGAAGGGCGACAGGGGCCACTGGAGATTTTCATGTTTGTTTGGGAATCTACAACTCTTAGACTGAGTTCACCTCTAGAGCTCCTGCTGGGATTTGACCCATGTGATAAATGTGTTTCGATGAGGAGAAGAAAAAATAAAACAGTACAAACTGATACACGTGTAACTTACATATTCATTGATAAATCAGTAAAGTTAGATAAAGAGATATTCACCCAAAAATGAAAATTCTGTAAGCAGATACTCTCCCTTCATTTGTTCCAAACCTTAATGAGTTTTGATCATGAAAGAAGACATTTTGAAGAAAGCTGGAAACATGTATCCATTGACTTTCATGGTATTCAATTTGAAAGTCAATGGTTACAGGTTTTCAGCTTTCTTCAAAATATCTTCTTTTATGTTCAACAGAAAGAAAGAAACTCAAAGGTTTGAAACCACTTGATTATCAGTAAATAGTGAGTACATTTACATTCATGGGTGAACTATTCCTTTAAAATAATGTATCATTTAGCTGGTCTACCAGTTTCTCTATCAGCCACCATGCTGGTTTACATTTTCTCTTATTTGAAAATAAAGTTATAAATAAAATCTGACATTGTTTGAGAAAGACCATAAGAAAGATTGTCATTTTGACCCCTTTTTGGAATAGTGTAACAGAAATTTTGTAACCATGTGCTTGTACTTATTTCAGTATATCTTTATTTTATTTATTATTGTTATTATTATTATAAATATGTTAAATTTGGGCTATTCATCTTCTAACTAGTAATTAGTTTGATTTAACTTTTATTAATTGTGACAGACAGACAGACAGACAGATGGACACTTCTGTCATGTTTTACCTAACTTGTTTTAAATAAATTCCTAATGTTTCAGGAATTATAACAAGATGCAAACATATCTTATCTTGTTTGGAACTATTTTTACAAGTTTCTAAAATAATTTATCTGATTACACTAACACAAACACACAAATTGTTGTGAACACACTCACCATTTACAGAGGCAATGCACACAATGTAATATTGTTGTAAATGATGCTTCAGAATGATTTCATATATATATATATATATATATATATATATATAACCTGAATGCTTTATTTTTGCCTGTATATTTTTTGTAAAAAATTTGTAAATTTTTTCTCTAGGTGTGGGCTTACATTTTGTAAATCATCAAGCACAGTTCTGTAATATGCACCTTTGACAATCTTTAACTGTGCCTTAAACT